TTGAGAAATGGATTGACCTTTTGTTGAGAATTACATTGTCGAAGTGATGAAGCATAAACTTGAAATGGTCAGTGTGGAGTGAACACAACTGTAGAAGGCAACAGCCAGGAAACATTTTCTGTGAAGTGGAGGGCAGCCTGGGAGCACCTCCCCCCCCACCCCCCCCCGTGTTCTTCTTAACTGCAAATCTTGTCTTAAAAGTGTCAACTTAAATTCTTGAGGCTGAAGTGGCATTGCTTTGAGCCTCTGGATATTTCTCCTCTGTGTTTTCGGAATTAAGATTCGGGTGCAAAGAGCACTAGATCAGGAGTCAGAGGACAGGGTATACGCCAGAACAGCACCTCAGGGACCTCCAGCCAGTTGCACTACATCTTGGGTAAAATGGGGATGATAATACTGAAAAATGTGAGTGTCGAATGAGGTGATGCAGGAGAGGTGCAAGGCCTCTGAGAGGGACCGAGTTTGCAGAGACACAAGAGAGCATTCTGATCTTGCCTCTCTTTTCTCTGGAGAACCTTCCTCAGGTAGTTAGATTTGTTCCCATTTTTCTTCTCCTGTGGAGAAGCAAGGCTGTCAGGCAAACACACTCTGCAAGCTGCTGTGTTACTCCCAGGGGTGATCTCCTATGGTTCCGTGGCTCTCAGCCCAGCACTCCCCAGGGTGGGCTTGTGGTTCCGCTTTGGTGGGTCTGTTCTGCAGGGAGAGAGAAGCAAGGCAGGCCCCCGCCTGTCTGTCTGATCCAGAAAATCTGGCTTCACAGTGTCCCGGGACTTGATTGATCAGCCAAAACACCTGATTTCCACAGAGAGAAACTCTGTATTTTCCCAACTTTTGTTGTGATGCAGATATTTAACGTCAGGCCCTTCGGTCAGGAAGGAAGGACCCACCATCTGCAGACCCCCACGCCTTCCAAAGAGGGGCCTGGGGCTGCCCTCTGGGAGCCGGGCTTTCATGGAGACACATAAAGTTTGTTCTAGCAAAGGTTTTAAAAAACTTCTTTCTTTTTTTATTTTTTTAGCAGAAACAAGAAAACGTGGGTGTGTGAGTGTGAGTCAAGGGGGAGTTGATGTAGCACAGGCTTCACCTCTCCCCTCTCCGCTGTTCAGTGTGGCGCCAGGAGGAGGAATAAGTTCCGGGCTGTTTGTTTTGTGAGGGAAACTTGGGCAACAGGTTCCAGGACCAGGACTTAGACATGAAAGAAAATGTGAAGGCAGTTGAGGAGAATGGAAGGCACTTGGTCTTGTCCCCGCGCTGCCTCTGGCTTCTGGTGTGTCCCCACAGCTGACTTGACTTGGTGCCTGTGGGAATGAAAGGAGGGAGTTTGCAGTTTGGGGATGCCTACTCTGCATCAGGGGCTGTGCTGCGTGACTGATACTTTTCCATTTCATAGAATTCGAGGCTTAGAGAAGAGAAGACCTAATTCAAATGCACGTAAATGCAGCTCCAACTTTTCAACTTGCTTCTCAGGGCAGGGAAATGACTGGCGACAGGAAAATGAAATGAAGCAGGACTTTGACAAGGAAGGTGCTACCTAGATTGGGCTGGTGGTGTTGCTGCCTCCTAGAATCAGCCTTTCTGGAATTAAGTGGGTAACTTTGGTGACTTGGAAGGGCACCCAACCCAACTCAGTCTCTTCCACCCACTTGCTGCTGCCCCAAATATTCTAGGATGGAATGAGCATTACATTTGCTTAAAGCTTGAACATCTGTGGAAAGGCTAGTTGTCCCTTCCCTCAAACACCCTTAGGAACATCTTAAACTTTTCTCAGTAATTTATACGTGAGTGTGAATGAATTTGCCCTTCCTTCCTTTCTGTCTTCCTTCCTTCCTCCCTCCTTCCCTCCCTTCCTAGGAAGGGGTCCCTCAGCCCAACCTGCACCCTCTCCACTTCAGGAGCCCTCAGGGGATGTCCTACTGATGGCTTAGGCCCATTCCCCATGGTTCTCTGCTCTCTGTGTGGCCTGCCTGCTCCACACCATGGTGATGGGCAAGAAGGCCCTGCTGGGTGCTGTCTGTGGGCCGCACTTGCCTGCTGGGCTCGCATTTCTGGGGTGACGCTGCCAGTGTCCCACCCTGGCTGCTATGGGCACTGCCATCTTTGTTGTGGGGTGACAGTTAATTTGCATATTACTCTTTTATTAGATAGGATTGATTTATTTAAGTTCAGGGCACTATCTACTATTCTAATTAAGAATATTAAGGCTGCATTTGACCAAGGAAAAATAATTGATTTATCTTTATTTTCTATTGGACCAATCTCTGTGATTTTTTAAACATTTCTCTGAATGGACATCTCTTCTCTTCCCAGGGAGTATTGTTTCAAGTGAAAGTTAGTCTCCATTTTGTAGCATAAAATCAGAATGCTTTTTATTTACAGTTGAATAGGATCTTGAAGATATCTAATGCAGATAGTAATGTCCTGGAAAGAGTTTGTTCTTGCTGCTGCTCTCATTCCTTCCTTCTGGTTCTCTCCCTCTTTCTTATAACAACTATGTAGTCACCGCCCACTGTGTTCTCCACGTAAAGATGGTTGAATGGCAATCAGGTGCTCAATGTGTGATAATGTCTGGGGAAAATTTACCATTTGTATTTAGCCCATTTCCTCTGCAGTAGGTTTTCAAAGCAGTTCTTGCAAATCTGCCCCTCTCCCAAGGAACTTAAAGAGCTTTTAAAAATAGGAACCTCTCTAATTAACTCAAGTTAGGAAAATAAATTAATGGAGTGAAGAGGAATAAATCATGGCTTCCATACATCAGTTTAATACAATGCCATTTACTCTATGGGTTTCATAAAACATAAGCTTTGGGGCATTTATAATCAGAATAAATGAACATATAAATTGTTTACAAATTGCTGAATTTAATATAGTGAGTTAGCTGTCTTTTTAGCATTTCAGTTAACAGATGTATCAAATTAAAACAAATATTTGCTTATTTCAAACATTTTGCATTTAATGTGAAATGTAAATGATGACATAGCACAAGATGTCTTTGGCGCTCTTGAGGCAATAAAAAAACAATTAAGGATTTCCCCCTTGTTGTTAAAAATGCTAACTTCTGCATAACAGAAGCGGAATTCATAAATCTACCCAAGATGGGGAAGTCTGTAGAAAATATTAATTTTCCATTCTATGTCTTTTGCAATTGCGTCTCAGTCTAGTGGAGGTGCTGGGCGGGGGAATAATGAAACAAATTGGGAATGCTGGAGAAAAAGAGATGCTGGAATGCCTCCTAGCTTTTAATTGATTTGCAAGAGAAAACAAAAATAATGTAAAAGTGTACATTCCTGGAAACATGTGTGTCTCTTCATGCCTTTTGTCAGCTTAATGAGAAATTAGCACTAGACTCACTACCTTTTGCAAGGTTATGGCTAATGTGGCCAAGGTAATACTTGTCTGATGCCAGCACAGATGTTACCTGCTGGTCTGGATTCCTGCCTGCTCTGGAGGAGAGGGACTGCTGCATTTGGCTCTTTATCCCATAGTTGGTGAGGATATGCAAAATGTGTCTTCTTTTCAACAGGCTTTTCCAGACCTTCCATCTCATGTTTCTCATCTCTCCCTTGGAACTGTTCTCAATGCATGTGGCATCTGGATCCCTTGTTTGTGTCTGTTGCACATGTGACTTGCTGTTAGATGTCACCCACTCAAAGTGAAACGACAGAGTGGTTTAAATGAAGTATACTGTAGTTTTTTGGTGGGATTGTAAATTGGTATAGCCACTATGGAAAGTAGTATGGAGGTTTCTCAAAAAATTAAAAACAGAACTACCATACAACACAGCAATTTCACTTCTGGGCATTTATCTGAAGAAAATGAAAACACTAATTTGAAAAGCTATGTGCACCTCTATTTTATTGTAGCATTATTTACAACTAGAGGCCCAATGCACGAAAATTCGTGCAAGAGTAGGCCTTCCTTCCCCAGGCTGCTGGCACTGGCTTCCCTCCGGCACCTGGGACCTGGGTTTTCCTCCTCCGGCCACTGGCAGGCACCAGGGACCCTGGCTGGCTTCCCTTGAGCCACCCGCAGACACCTGGGACCCGGGTTGGCTTCCTTCCGGCCTCAGCTTGGTCAGGAAGGACGTCCGGAATGATATCCGGAAGATGTCTGGTTTAATGAGCGTATTACCCTTTTAGCTAAGAAAGCTAAGATATAGAAACAACCTAGATGTCCATTGATAGATGAATGGATAAAGAAGATGTGGTACATGCATACAATGCAATATTACTCAGCAGTAAAAAAAAATAATGAAATCTT